GTAAATTTTAAATGATGAAAATACTTATGGCAGACAGATGTTAAAGGTGAACTGCAGTTTAATAACTTTTAAGCAATCCTTATTCATATCTAAAATAAAGAACAGCACAAAAACCAGTTGACACTATTTTTTAAACATAACTACAAAGTGAAGGGAAACAGATATCGCGAATATAATATAATGAGATTTCATATTGTATATCGAAGCAACTCTACTGAACATATCCTCAAAATGCTGGAGATGTTCTCAAAGTTCAAGTTGTTTCCTGTTCAACTGATCACGGGTCAGTGCTCAGCGCTGCACTGAGGCAGTGGTGGGATTTCTACTTTTCATACGTGGAGGCCAAGCTATCCCTAAAACAACAATCCGTTGACTTTTGTGGTGCCACGACCGTGGAGCAACTCTGCAAACGCCGCGATCCCCTCCCGGCCCCCACCCTGAGCACACGCACACACACGCAGCACTTGCGCCCACGTAGTGTCCTAATGGGGAATTGCCTGGCACATCGGGTTTTAATCCGAAGGGCTTCTAGAGGGAGAGTCCCACGGTTTCCCAGTGCCAGGAGATTGGCCGACCCTCACAGGACAGGTTACATTGCGGTGCCCCTAAATTGGCTTAAAATTGTATGGGCGCAGAAGAAAAGGTTCACTGGGCCAACCGCAATAAGTTATTCACGAAATTGGGAGAGGCTGAGGGTGGAATATTAGGCAAGAAGGGCAGACCAGTAGGTTAGAATTAATGAGCACGGGAGAACAATTCGGAGAGCAGAGCAGCAGCACGCTCCATGGCACTCCACGTAGACGGCACAGGAAAGCGCAGGATTGGCTGCGCAGCACAATGCCACCCCGGGCCTTTGAAGTGAGGGGATTAGGCCACGGGAGAGACGGCGGAAGGGAACGACGGTGCAGGTAAGTGCCCAATTGGCTGCGCAGTATGACGTCACCCTGGGCCTTTGAAGTTTAGAGAATAAAAAGGGGGGCCCCGGACGATGTTGAGTTCAGTTGTCTCCAACCTCCGGGCCGACAAGACCCACTCCCTGCCGTCCTGCCTCCTCGAGCCGCTCGCATCATCCGCGCGATGCCAGCGAGCGCTGCTACGGGGTACGTGGTAGGTGAAGTTTTCGCTCGTCCTTCTCCCTCCCGTCTCTCGCAGCGTCCGTGCGACGCCGTGAGTACAGCTACGGGGTACGTGGTAGGACGTTTGTGTAACTGGGTTCGTAGGCAGAGTTAGGCCAGGCTCTCCTCGCGAAATATTCCTCCTCCAGGTAGTGTGTATTGGTGCCATTAATAAACTTCAGTTCCGAATATCGGGGCAGTGTGATTTCTGTGTGTGTGGGTAGAACCTCGGCGTGGTGTCGTCTGCGATTGGGGTGTAGCGCGACTGCGTGTGGAGACGGCGTGCGCCGTGTTGGTAAGTTGAGCGTGTGTGTGGGGCGCGCGTGTATTGCAACATATACGGCCGCCATCGTTTGCGCATGTTTGGAAAACGAGCGCCTGCAGCGCCGCGTGAGTAATTGGGGCTGGGTGCGATCAACCCGTTCGCCGGCGGTCGAGTGCGTTTACACAGCGTGTTTGCACAGCGGATTAAGCCTTAACCACGGGGGGGGGGGGGGGGGGGGGGTATGCATGCATATTCATATCTGCCGCTGCTTCTTTCTCTTTAGCGCAGGTACGCGCATATTCATACCGCCGCCGTTTCTTTAGGTCAGCGCCAGCCTTTGTGAGGCAAATACGTGCCTGTAGGGGCGCGCGCGTGCACGCCTCCGCGTTCGTTTGTGTGGTGGTGTAATTTGAGCGCGCGTGAGATAACCCCGGGCGGTGGTGAGCCAGCCGAGTAGCGATGTCCATCAGAGAGGGCGCTGGCGTGCGGGGGCCGATCACCCGATCGGCGGGGGGCCTGGCGAGAGGCGGCCGAAGAGGAGGAGGGGGGAGTGGAGGGGGTGGACGTCGGCCTCCGCACTTTCCACAAAGCAGTATATATTTATAAACCCTGCAAGGATAATTTGCACACTTATTATTGTGAGTCAGCATTCCAAATCACCTATTGCTCGAAGTGTATGCGGGTGTTCATAGCTCAGATGCTATGAAGATAGATGATGAAAATAGACTTAAACATTTTGAGGACATTGTCGATTGCTGTACTGCACTTAAATGGTCCTGCATGTCTACTCACTACCTTCAACAGTCTGGCCAGTATGGTGGAGTATGGTCAAACAAGCCCCAGGAATTGCATAGTATGAGCAGGCCCTCATCCAGTAGTATATTGGCAAAGGGCCATACATGTACACAATAAAGAGTCGAATTCCAATGTGTTTTCTGGTTGTACCGTGCGTTGTTTAACATTATGTCCAGCGTTTCGCTCCACTGAAGCTCTCAACATGTGGAATGAAATGTCGGACATCGTGATCCACACAAGGACAGCACAGAGCGAGAGTTAACAGAATAGAAATACAATTGAGAAAATCACAATCAGCAGTCTGAGCTTTGGAACCAGGCCCAGAGGCCAGAATGCAAATGCGTAATACATTCACTGGTTTAGCAGGATGTTGAGGCCATTGTAATGTTGACAGGGTCCCAGTGAACTGCCACCACCAAATGAATGGACGTTGCATTTATGTGCAAGGAGACTTTTTAGCCAATCAAAACTCCATCTAGCCCTGCCGATTTTGTCAAGTTCAAGTGACTTTGGCGATGAAGTTGGGTTATGTTCGGTACTGTAAGAATCGACGAATCTCCCAGCACACGATGAAAAATGTTAGACATCATGCCAAACAGCAAGTGATACAACCCCAAAAAACAGCAATTGACTAATTTAATTGATGTTTTGTTAAAACTATTTTGATGGCGTGACTTTCGAACCTCGATTCTGGGTGATGGAATTACATTGGCTAATGGAGGCAAAGCAATCTGCACGCGTGCTTGAAATCTGTCAAACTACAAAGCATTTGTAAATCATTCCATAAATTACTCCCCCCCCCAAAAAAAAAATCCTCCACGGGAGCCATTTGCATGACGATTTGGGAAAATATCTCATTGCGACTTTCCTGACAGATATTACGATTTGGTTTGCGATAAAAAATTAAAAGTCAAGATTCAGTTCAATATTCACTGTGTAATAGATTTAAAACACGTGATGGAGCATTGCCACGTGATACCATCAACATATTAACGTCTCTATATAATTCTAATGCAAGAATGAGAACTTTAAAAAATATGAATTGCTTCCAACATGTATTTGTTAAAATGTTCTAATTGAAATAGAACGATCAAACATAGAAAAAAAATATTAAGTTAAACAAATAAAGATATAATAAAATAACACAATTCCAATAAGTAAGTAACAGGACTTTTTCAAATCGCAAAAAAAAACCGCGTTGTTTCAAATTGCGATTTCGATTTGGAATCGATTGATCGTTCAGCCCTCCACCAAAGCCAGTCCGTTTCACAACTGTTCGCACCGTGTGCGACTGCTCTTGCAGTGCACCATTATTTGCGCCGTAACTCCTCACAGGAACATAGCTTCCCTTCTTTCTCTCTCTCTGGCTCTCTCTCTGGCTCTCCCTTCTCTCTTCACCAGACTGCGAAGACCACACTCGTCGCTTGCGCTGCAGATGGTTAACCGTCTGCGCCGTAACATTTGATTAAATCACCTCGAACCCACGATACAATTCCTTCCATATGTTACCAAAGCGGAATCTTTTTCGCGAGAAATGCTTTGAGGGGAAGTCAAGTTTCTTTTTGGGAAAATTGCTCGAACCCCAGATGCTTGAGCGCGTCTGACAAGCGAAAACCAGACACCGTTTGTATCGTCTAGGCGACCCGTGTCTGTGCTGCAAGAGCCCAGCTCTGAGCAACAGTGCAGGGATTTACAGCAACATGTTTGACAATTACTGACGTTGGTATATGTTAGGGTTCGTAAGAAGGCTATAAGCATTTCCTGTAGCCTTGGGGGCTTGAGCCTTTGTAATGATTAATTACCGGTACAGCAACCCTTTTCCTTATATTCTCGGGGACAGGTTGAATCCAAATTGATGAAAAACTTATTTTTCTTGTGAATTGTTCTTTTTGTGTGTGAGCTTAACTAGCAAACACGAAGGTCGATGTTTTAAGCCAGTGCATACATTCATCAGCAGAGTGAAATCTGCACACTGATCAAAGGTTTCACAATTAAAAGCACCCAGACGGGTTGCCTTCATTATGTAAAGCCGGACAGGGGGAAATAATAACATTAATGCTATACGGTTTAATATAAAAACGAGTTAACATTTAATGAGAAGCGATGTAGTCACCAGACGGCCGAATGAATGTATGCGTCTGTCTCTCCTGCAGAAACCGGTTCTTCATTGCCATGTATGGTGCCTGTGTGAACCGTTATAACCCCTTGCACTATTGTGCATGTCAACATGAAGCAGACCATTCGCGAGGATCTGCACGTTGAGCAAGAGTCACCCAAGGACAGCATCAAGGGGAGAGAGTTCAAAGAGCAGAAATGCAATTGAGAAACTCACAAGCAGCCATCTGAGCTTTGGAACCAGGCCCAGAGGCCAGAATGCAAATGTGTGATCACTTGACTGCATTAGCAGGCTGGCAAGCCCGCTATAATGTTGTGGCTGCTTGCTGATTGACAGGGTCCCGGTGATCTGCCACCAACAAATGAATGGATGTTGCCTTTGCATGTATTGAGAGAGTTTACATCCAATCTATACACAGCTAGCCCTGGCACGTTTGTCATGTCAGGGTGACTTGGGCAGCTTTGGTGATATAGTTGGGTCACGTTGGGTACTGCAAAAATGTTTTGTTAACAAATAACGGTTCAGTGATGTAATTATGCAAAAAAATATTATTGCCCTTGCCTTTTTACACAAACTCTAATTTATTTAGTTAGAATTATGTTCTTGAAACGTTTTAGTTCATTTGAAGAGGAAAAAAATACTTTTCATTTTATTCCATTTCCAGTCAAATGTATTCCAGATATGAAAATAAAGGACAAAGAAGATATAACTTTATCCAGGTTTGTTTATTTTGTTGCTCAAGATTTAGGTTTGTTAACCTTGAGGATCTATTTTATTCAGAAGTTCAAGAGGAATTGTTTTAAAACATATAAGACACCAAAGTCAACGTGACCCAGTTGAAGAAACCCACATATGCTGATTTGCAAAGGTCTGTGTGGAAGGTGGATGAAACAAAAGTTGCTGAAATGCATAAATTGTGATGACAGAGAAAATGTACTCTTTGCCAGTGGAAACGCAGCCAGGATATTTCGTAACATGTTATTACCGTGTCGAAAATTATTCACCTGTTGAAATTGTTCCATATGTACTGCTTAAAATGCACTCTCGCATTTATAGGAACTCAGGAATGCTGCATTCATGAAATAATTACAGTTCGTCTGCAAGGAGACTTGATTCTTGTGATCACAGTTACACTTGCCAGTTTTACAGACTTGCTGCATTAAAAGTTGGCGATCATTGTGCATCTATGCTTGATCACATCATGTGCTAACTCAACGGCTCAATATTGAGCTTTGGGAGTGCAAGGGTTAAGAATTCATTTCATATAAATTCCTTCTGCCTGTCCCCCAGTGTATTGTGAGGGTTATGAAAATGTCATGTCATTCATAATTTCAGTAAAGTATGTCAGATCTTCTTTAAAAAAAATCAGGCTGGATTCGCCTGATGAAAATATGAATTCATTAGCTTTTGTACACGGTGGTCGTGACTCACACAAATGTGTTTCATCAGACGTTATTTGTCATCAGGTAATTTATTTATATGTATGAACCAGACTTAAAAATCGGTTTGCGAAATTAAGACAGCAAGCGTTACGTCTGTTGCAGACTAAGAGGAAGCATTCAATACACAGCCAGGACTGGGAAAATGTTCTCAACAGGATGACTATTTAGCCTTTGCAATTGAAATACCATTGACAGCAAGCAAGGACATTCTATTTGTCTCTTTTTAACCACATGCCTAAACATATCAGACATATAAAATTACTGCAACAATTCTGCTTGAAAAGAAAACTAGTCATAGATGAAATAAATCACTGTTTAATTGTCCAACATTATTATAAATGGGACTTCATGGAAAATACTGTACACACAGCCTCACAATGCTTAAAGAATTAACAACGCTTACATTCATCGTAATTAGCTTCGTTAATTGGTACCACATGTAGATGCACCTTTGAAATAATACGAACAACAGCGACGTCAAGGTAAACATTAGCAATATTTCATGACAAACAAACCCTTATGACTAAAGACAAAAACAAAGAACGTAGAAATCGCTGGAAACAAAGAGTTCATCCAGCCTAAATATTGTTCGCAGGGAGAAAAAAATATGAATTTTATTGATTTACTTTATTATGCCAGGGCTGTCGGGGCGGGTGGGGGAAGGGTAATACGGAGCATCCATAATAAATAAGCGAGGCGGTGCTGATTCCTGATCCCTCTGACATTTCATAAGGTGCTTCGTAGGCCCTCAGCCAGCAATGCTTCGTACGCAGAAATAAAGCAGAGATCGAGGAAGTGTTAATCACCAACAGTGGAAAAAGTATGCTGACGCCTTGAAATGTTTGCTCGACGACTGTGGCTGCTGTGGCAATAAGGTTTGCTCCGGGTTTCACCAACAGGATTCATTCGATTCCGTGTGTGTGTATATTAGTGTGCGTGTGTGTGTTCATGTAATAGCCAACAATTTACGTGACGTGAATAATGCTATGGGAAATTCAAGAAAATCTAAAATAAAGAAATATATGGTCAAAAGGACCAATTTAAATCAATTGTGCTCCAAATAACCTGAACATAAACGTTCTGTTTAAAATTAGCTTGGACAGTTCACAGAAATATTTACAGTTTTACATCTCAATGTTGACAGAGCTAAATGTTTTAAAGCTCATGGTTTATTGATGGTATCTAAATGTATTGTTTTGGTTGGTGTTTTTTTGTATGTATTGTTTTATTTTACCTTTCGATATTTATGTTTCTGAATTTCAAAAGTGCTTGGCAGATTTATGCATGGACACTAAATGTTTATAGCATAGTTTAATGACAATTTTAAATGTCAAATACTAAATGTTAAATATTTGTGTGAATTATGCTCAACCTTTCTACAGAGGCAGTGTCATTTGCTGCATTGTGCTGTTGACAAACATTAAGGGGTCATCAGTTGGTGAGCAATTTTTTAAAACAATTTACAAATCCATTTAGCAATCCGTATCACTACCGTACCATAATCAAACACTGAAGCATCACCAGATATGCAGCCTTTAAAACAAATTAGGAAATAACGAGAAAAAAACAATGCTCTTTAATAATAGGTCTATAATTGTAACTAAAATAATTATACAAGCATAAACCAATAGCTTTGCAATACGACATTACATTTAACCTGAACAGCTTGATTTGTAATATGATGGGGTGGCGGCAGGGGAATGGGGACTATGTAAATACATTTACAAGAGATTGATGAACCCTGTTTGATTATACATGTAACAAAGTACAAAGCTACGGCAATTATCCAGAACGATATTATTTTGTTTTACCTTTCTAGCAATGTTAAATCAATACATTGATAACTTTAACGTACGAGATACCTGTTTTTGAAATTGTATACAAAGTAAATCATTGATGAAAATCGTCATAATTTTAACCATCATGCATTGTTGATATTACAACAGTTAGGTGCTTCATTAACTTGTGACTCTACAATGATTCACGTGGCAGTCTTACAAGTAGTACTCTCGGAAAATGTGCCCTGCAGAAATCAGCAGGACGGGCTATAGAGTTACTCATTAAAACTTCTACACTGCCTGTTGACAAAAGCCAACATTTTTTTAACAATGCATGTGTGTTTGGTCATGAATAATGGGGATCAGATGCTAACAACATTTTTTCTATTGACTGTTGGTATATGTGTATGAATTAAGGGTATCCTGTAGCTTTGATGCAATTATTGCATTGCTGTAGTCTTAAATGCATTCATTTAATAATGGCATGGGATAGAGCTACAGATGTCAACAATTCACCCAAGTTTGTTTCAAAACAGTTTAATGAACATCACAGTTAAGAATATGAAATTATAATGGCCAAAGCAGTTAATTAATGTTGGCTATGCACGTGGCAGTCTTACAAGTAATGCTCTCGGAAGGAGTTTTAATTTTATTTCCCACATGATGCGTGTTCATTATAACACGCAATGTCACAAATTCGCGTTGTCTCCTGTGGTGTTTTTCAAATTCTGCATCTCATTGAATCACTTGTTGTTTATCAAGCGCAAGCACTTGTGCCCAATGAAACCCAAAAGTTAGGGCACTCATAAAATATGGAAATGCGTCTCAAGGTAAAAAAATAAAGAATAAAAGAGGAGGTAATAAAATAAAAATACATTAATTCAAAATTGAGCGTTAAGAGTGTGAATGTTACAACACCGCTCGCTCTCTTTTTTCAACGGAGTGCGGCGTTCACGCGTAGATCTCTTGGGTGGGCGCCTTCTGGTAGCTGCCGCTGGCCAGCTTGGGCTCGTTCAGGGTGTAACTGCCCTCGTCCTTCTTGCGCATGCGGTGAATCAGCACGGCCACGAGGAAGGCGGCCAGAAACAGGCCCACAACACCACCTGCGATCACCGCTGAAATGACAATAACAACAAAAACACACAACACGGTTAACTACAGCGTAGATATTCTTGGTTCTTTCGGTAAAGTCACCACGTAGAAGGGAAACAATAAAATAATAAAAATATAAAACAATAACATTCTCACGACGTTTCGACTGCAACACAAGCAATCATCATCAGGTGTGAAAACCACAACAAGAAAATGTTCTTGCTGAAAGAACCAAGAATATGAATCACTGCAGTCACAAAAGCTTTAAATCAAAATTTGCAGCGTAGATGTTTGCGGTTTGTGCTGCACAGCGCTCCGATCTTTTCCGGGTTATACCAGCATGATGTCTGACGTTTCTTTCCATGTATTTGTATTAATTAAATGGGAGTTGTCGCTTTGATGCTTTGACTAAACAACGGTTGTCTTAATTACATTCATACCAGTTTCCCCAACGATATAATTATTTTACATTGATTTGATTAATAGGGCATGGTATGCAGCTACAGGTGCCAATAATTCACTAATGCGTGTTTACAAAAAATCTATTGACATCATCACAGATGCATAAATAAAAACATCACATGTTAATGGTTAAACCAGTTAATTGATATGTTGCCTAACCACAGTGAATTTCATTTTGCCTACTTAGCAATTTTACAAGCAATTCTTGAGAATATTCAGTTCCTAAATATTGAGGAAAATTCCTGCAAAATCTCCCAGCACGGCGAGCAAAACTTTCGTGCATTATGCCAAACAACACGCTGTTCACCAGAACAACACATCTGACAGCAAGATTGTTGAATTCAAACTTTACCGGTGGACATTTGCAAAGTGTGCCACAACAAAAACAATCTAAAACCACCTTGTAAGAATGGCATGGTATGCAATTAAACGGTATTTAATAAAGCAATATTGTTGAACCAAATATAATTTTGCATGTAGATGTGTGTTATTGTTTTCTAAATGTAATTTGAGCTCCGGTTTTTTGCATTATTTGTTCACAACTGCGTAATTTTGTGGTTGCTTATGTGCTCTTGTGTGCGAGGATAAATGATACAAGGTAGTGTCCAAAGTCTGTAATGGTTAGCACATGGTTAGACTCCCAATCCAGTTCGCCAGTTTGATCTCCTGACACAGGAAGTTGAACCAATGGGGCAAGTTTCTTAAAGCCCCCTGCCTCTCTCCACACATCAGTAGAAATTGGTACTCCACAGGAAGTCCATCGGCAGATCGCATGCGGTGGGGCATAGTGTGGGTACGTCCACCTCTTTAAAGATCTCTGGCCAGCTTTAAAGAACAGGCAAAACTAGAGGGGTAATGTAGAACTCCCTCCTGTGGAGGCCTTTCGAACAGCACAAGTGTGAACAAGTGTTTGCAGATTTGCATGGACCTTTTTGCCGTTCATTTTAATTGCAAAGAGGGATATTAAAACAAAAAAAAAACTGTCCAGGGATTGTTGTGTTCCAGCACCGGCTGCTTCAATTCTTTTGCCAAATGGGACCCAGCTGCTGTCATTCCATTGCCTTCACCAAAAGGACTGCCCCTGCTGCGGCTGAGGGCCCACCTCCCCACCTCTCCACCTTCCACTCCTCACCACTCACCCTTTCCCCACCCTCACCGCATCGCTTAGTCCGAAACGCCACAGTCAGCCTGCGCACAACACCCTCTGGGATTAAAGTGCACATTTCTCATCTCTCCCTGCCACTTCACGACTCGGTGCTTCCGTTTTCCTTTTCTCTTTTTATGAGGCTCTGTTGATGCGCGCGTGTTGGATTTCGTGTTTTCTTGGTCGGTATGAGGTTGCGGCGTTTGGTTTCTGCGTAGCGTAACCCTTAAAATGCCACTTGTCAGTTAAACTATTTGTAAGGAGCATTGAAACGTGGTGGCCACACGCTTTGTTTTGCTGTAATTTCGTAAATCGTTTGCGTCTGTGTCAACTTCAAGGGTTAATAGTTTTCATTACATAATTTAGTTGGTGTGTATCATTTACCTGCATAGTGCCATGAATTAGCTTAAAAATGGAACATCTAGTACGCTTTCCATATACCGTAATACAAATGCTTACAACATAAATACAAGCATGTATTGGGCGATAAATATTCTTCACAGAGTCTGACAATTAATGTTGTTATTTCTGTATTTGGAGAGATGATGTCTCATGCATCACTAAGAAATCAAACGCATGGAAGTCAGCGCTAATGGGACAAGCAACGATTAAATTATTATTGAAGTTTAAGCTGTCTCATTATGCAACCAGATTTGTAATTATGGCTTGTAAAGTCTGGTGATTGTGGCAAATGCTCTCCAGTTGAGAAAATGTAGTTCCAAAAACGGAGAACTAACCTTCATAATCATTATTTAATCTGATCAATGTTTAACTATGATTTAATTTACACTGAGGAAAATTTAACATTTAGCCTAATAGAGTTGTAATTAGTTGGCATTCACTTGAAGGTAAACTACATAGGATCTTCACCATCAGCCATTGTCTATCCTCTGCTGGAAGAAGGCCCCTATAGAGGAAGGTCCTTACAGTTCTGCGATGCAACAATCATTTCACTTTTTATTCTTGGTTCTTTCGGTAAAGTCACGTAGAAGGGAAATAATAAAATAATATAAATAAAACATAATAAAATTCTCACGTTTCGGCCACAACGCAAGCAGCCGTCCTCAGGTGAAGAAACAGAGCTGTCGGAAAGATAGCCATACTCTATGTTGACCATGAGTTGATTTAGATACTTGAGCTAAAGTATATTTTTTTGGGACATTACTTTGGTGTGGGCAAAAGTGTAAATCTGTGTGATGAGTCATTCTCTCTGGAAAAGGCGAGTCAGCCCAGGTTAAGGTCTGTCCTCGTGAAAAATCCCACACCCCAATGGCAAGTTCAGACTTCTGACAGCATTAAACCATGCACTTTAACTGTTCCGTGTAAAGTTTGCAGCTTTTAGGTTATTTAAGGATCAGTGTGGTAAATGACAGCATTAAAAACCCACTGCTTTTAACGAGCTTTGAGAGTACAATTATATGACACAGTCTCAAAATCTTTGTAAGGTTCTTGTAATATAAGTGTTTTGTTTTGGAAATCCAACGTTATTGATGATGAACATTAAACAGTGAAAGCATATATGCTTTGCATGCTGGAGTTGTATTTATAATGGTGCATTATAAAAAAATATGTGACCATTTACATGGCAGCACTGTAAGAGATGGCGACGGCTTTGGGAAATCTTCATCCAGCAGTGGATTGATCTTGGCTGCTGATGATGATGTTGCATCGAACAACACCATAAGAATAATCTCCTACATACAGGATAATGTTACCTATGTTACTTATGCATGTTATTTTATATTTTCTACGAGAAATGTTATGTTTTACGGTGATTGTTAAGCAAGCCCATTTAGTTATACACTCGTGTGACATTCGAACAGGAAAAACACAGCAATCGCTACCATTTCAGCTGACACATTGAAGAAATGTAATTACTTTGATTCATAATTTGTTTATTTTAGGGATAGCTAGTGTAGGTATAACATCAAATGTTAACTCTTTGACTCCACCACCTGACAGAGTCAATCAAATCGAGTTGTCACGTGGGCAAATATGCCAATTGCTTGTTCAGTAAACCGGAATGTTTAAAAGTAAGCACTTTTTTACACTTTCCCACGACATTTCACTGGAGATTACACCCACCTTCTTCAGGCATTAACATTAACAAATGCTCAGTTCTAAAGAGACGAATTAGGAATAATCTTGACACTCAAGTAACTTGCTCAGATGTTCTGTAAATACATTCTATACATCGAATGTACATTCAATGTGTTGAATTGGTATAATAAATTGTTTTGTGTGGTGTTCATGTTCGAGTGTTGATGCGTATTCCCTTGTGCTCAGTCGCGGTTCTGTGCTCAGTCGCAAGATGCCAACTGTTTGTTCACTCAGATGATCCAACAAAGGGCTTAATAAAAAAAAATATAACTTACCAATCTGTGAGTTTGATTTAAAAAAAAGTTACTTGTGTACACAGAACAGTAAAGCCTAAATGATCTCGGGGTTTTGCAATCACCGTTGTGCGTATTCGCGACAAATTTATCGCAGCGCTATTTGAAATTTGCACTCGGCTGTGTTTGAAATATTCGTGGCTGTTTGCACTGCCCGGCGAGAAGTCAGTCGTTGAGGCACGGGAGGGCGCGGACGTTGATCCCACACGATGCTCTTCCTCACAGTCTGCCCATTCATTCTCTTACCGCACCGTTTACATTCGAGTGCTCTCCTTTGCAAGTCTTTGGAATCACGTACAGTGTTAAAGTTAACCACGGCCCCTAAAGCGAAAAGGAATCGGCATCATTGAAGGCGAGTTTAAATAATACCGTGTAATAATCGTGACATTTGCACTTTTAAATACAATGTATGGGCATTATTATTACATTATTATTAAAGGTAAGTTATATAACCAAACATTACCATGTAATATATTCATTAATATGTACATAGTTTATAAGTTTATGATTAAGCATATATGTTTGAGCCCCATAACCCTATTTTCTTCATAAAGCTTTTGAGTATTAATATTCACTTATTTAATATTCAACTCTGTTCTGCAGGAACATATCCCCCGCAATTATTAAGGGTTTACTTTATTCTGCATAACGTCAGACATCTATAAATCCAGTCAAATCAGTCCAATAACATTTGGAGACATGTCGAAATTTTCACACATCTATTGAGTTGTTAGGTAGCATTGACGGACGTAAGAAAAATATTTGTTCTCAACTTCCCATAGTCGAGAAACGAAGCACAATAAAGACCAAAAATGGACAGCGTTGGCGAGCAGACGCAAGCGGGATAATTTTAGAATGCGGAGCGTACTCGTGGGACTGGGAGGTGGTGTACTGTGGTCGCCACAGGTGCAGCGTGCTCCTAATTAAACTTGGGTCTAACCTTGGTGGGCTCCGAAAGAGTCTGCTGATCAGAGTGCTGCTCCTGTAACTCAAGAAGCCCTCCAAATCCCCGCATCAATGCGCAGGTTTGTGCACAACGGGCGCACGGTGAAGACGCAGCACTTGTAAACGGATCCTGCCCATGTTTGTTTTGTGACATCGTAGCTGTCATATTTTCACTTGCAATAAATATCGCGATACATCATCACCGTATACTGGGAGTGTTGCCCAATCGTCATTGAGGTTCATGTGTGTGTGCGTGAAATACATAAGAACAAGTCTTCAAAAGGAAACGCACTGTGGTTTTCATCAGCCTAGAAGCAAGAACTGGCAAAGGCTTGTGGAAAATGTATTCTTGTATGTAAATTACTAACTTCCCAGCGCAGCTTGATGGATTACAAAATAGATCAGGGAGTAATGGGAGGCGGCTGGCAGATCGTGGACTAATGCACACATCGGGGCATTTATCCAGTGACTCTAGGATTTTGGGTTAAAATCCCAGCCTAATATCTGACATAACAAAAACATGCTTCTCTTGTGTAGTTAGTTTCATGAGCTTGATGCAGTCATTGTAAAAAAAAAACTAGATCCATTATCTTCTTTGGTTCTTTCGGTAAAGTCACGTAGAATGAGAATAAAATAATAAAATAACACAATAAAATTCAACACAAGTGGCCTTCATCAGGTGAAGGGACTGGACTGGACACTTGTGTTGTGGCCGAAACGTCGTGAGAATTTTATTGTCCAATCCAGTCCCTTCACCTGATGAAGGCCACTTGTGTTGTGGCTGAAACGTCGTGAGAATTTTATTGTGTTATTTTATTATTTTATTCTCATTCTACGTGACTTTACCGAAAGAACCAAAGAAGATGAATCCTTGCAGTCACGAAAGCTTTAAATTGAACAATAGATCCATTATAAATGACAAATTTCTGTTTGTGCTCAATTCACTGTGAAAACACACTTGTAGGGTTTTAAAAAATATCATTGTCAGATATGTAAACTTTTCTGCTCACGTATAGCTTTACAGGTAGCAAAGAAATCGATGCTATTCTAATCGCGTTGATGTGGGGGGACTGTATTCACGAATTCTCTCATTTGTCATACACCAGGATAAAAGCATCGCTCCTCTGGGGGGAAAAAAAACTTTGTAGACAATCGCAGAAGACAAGGGACATTTTGCAGCACAGTACACAAAAATTCGAACATTTTTGGCGATTACAGTTCTCGCGGACCACAGGGTTCAGCGAATTTTACGATGTATTGCCAAATGGAAGCGCGGTTTTTCAGAGTTTTACTGCATACGCTAATTATATGCTGCCGCTGTATTCAAACTAAAAACTGTACTAAAGAGGTTGACCAAAATGGGAAAAAAAACAACTGGAAGGCAAAAAACAAGGAAACAAAACAACACGTCGGTGAACGAAATGGCGACACAATTGGTAACATTTCTAAAGTGGTGGAGGGGGTGGCAATGAATTGTCATATCCCATATGAAAGAGACCCGCATTGGTTAGACAGCACAGCATGTGTGTGAATTGTGGTGTGTGTGTATTGGGAGTTATATGTCAGGTGGTGTTTTATCTGCTGTCAGGAGGAGCTTTCCGGAGATGAACCCGAGCTTAATTCTCTAACGATACTGGCAGGACATTCGTTAACATTTTTCATTTTTAAAAAAGGACATGCAAAGATATATGAGATGAACAGTGGAGACCCAAATTGCTCCTCACTGCTCATGTGAGAATTGGGGGTGGTCTTCTGCATAAGTGGCCCTGCACCAGTTGTGTAAATTCCACATTCCGATGGCAAGAGTCAATATTTTGATATGTACACCCCTCGTGATCACAATATTCATCATTGAAGACTATTCATCAATATTCATCATTGAAGACTATATTCATCATTGAAGACAATATTCATCATTGAAGACTATTCATCATTGAAGACCTATTCATCATTGAAGACCTCGTTCATCAAGGACTGCATACTGATGTACCCCCCATGGTGAGACATTGCTTAACCAACACATACTTCACCTGGAATGGAACTTTCTACAAACAAACTGAGGGCACCCCAATGGGCTCCCCCCTATCTCCGGTTGTAGCCAACGTATTCATGGAAAAATTTTAAACTGACGCCATCCAGACTGCCACTCTACGCCCGACCTTATGGAAGAGGTACGTTGATGACACCTTTGTCATCTGGCCACATGGCCAGCCTGCTCTAGACCAATTCCGCGACCACATCAATTCCATACACCCAGCCATCAGATTTACCATGGAGGTCGAAAAAGATGGCAAACTACCCTTTTTGGATGTCTTAATTAAAAGGAGACATGATGGTTCAATGAGCCACTCTGTCTACAGGAAAGCTACCCATACAGATGCTTACTTGAAACCGGATTCCCACCACCATCCATCCCAGAAGAACTCCCTCATCAAGACTCTATACCATAGAGCCCAATGCATTTCCGACCAGGAACACATTACCAGTGAACTCAAGCACGTACACCAGGGTCTCAGGGCTAATGGCTACTCCGACTACACAATCCGCAAAGCCATCACTCCAGTCATGAAGAAGGATCCTCTTGTGGAGCCACTCAAAACCATCACCTTACCCTACATTGCAGGGGTCACTAAAAAGATCTCAAAAATCCTGAATAAACACAAGATCCAGGTCCGATTCAACACAGTACATAAAATCCGTGATTTAGTTCCATCTGTAAAAGATGCTCTTCCAGACATACAGTACCCGGGCGTTTACAAACTAAAGTGCCTCTGTGGTAGTAGCTACATTGGAGAAACCAAAAGACATATCTCGGACCGCATCCGCGAACATAAAGCAGACTTGAAACACGGTAGGACGAACTCCTCTGCCGTGGCAGATCACTGTTACAATTCAGTGGGCTCACATGACATTGACTTCTCCAAGACGGAGGTTCTTTGCAAACCAACCGGCTACCATGAGAGATTCGTTCATGAGGCCATTCACATATACAAGCACAGAGACAATTTCAACCGAGAAGATGGATTCAGGCTTAGTAACCACTGGAAAGATGTGTTAAATCATTTCTGTTCTTAATTAATTGTATTTTTTACGATGACCTTCAGACCGCAGCTCTTTCGCCAGCATTGCCTCTTAATACCTCTCACACCACGGTTAATGGTATGGTTTACAACATGGAGTATACTAGGGCCTCGCAGCTGTCTCTCTCCCCCTCCTCTGTTCCGACCATGGACGAACTCGTCCGTCTGAACGAGGCCCGTAGCTATCCGTGGTGCGGAAATTTGAGGGTAAGAATCCACCCATTTTTTTGCCATATAGCATTGTGATATATAACGACTTATTGTTGGTAGCTTAGCTGATTGGAGAATATAGAGTTTATTGATAACATGAAGGTAATTTATATTTTAGTTTTTATTGGTTCACTATATAGTACTGTGAATAGCTCAGATGTGTAGTCATTTCTGTGACCAGTCACTAGCAAATCACTCAGTTATTTCAATACTAAATTCGCCTAGTTATTTCAATGCTAAATTCTCCTGTTTGATTTGTACTAAGTGCCTCGGTGAATGTGTATGCTCTGACTTCAACGTAGCTATTTCTGTAGCAGTTACAAGCGAATCACTCAGCTATTTCAATGCTAAATTCTATGCTAATTCCATTGTCAAGGGGTGCCTCTGCGGATGTGTATGCCTTAACTTAGCTATTTCAATGCTAAATTCTATGCTAATTCCTTTTAACAATGGGTGCCTCTGCGGATGTGTATGCTTTAACTTTTAACATAGCTATTTCTGTGACCAGTCACAAGCCAATCATTCAGCCATTTCAATGCTAAATTATATGCTAATTCCTTTGTCAAGGCTCTTTGTTCCTCTCACACAGCTTAAAAGCCGTGATCTGAACGTGGCTCTCTCACTCCAGCGCTGTCCTACCAGACAGTCTCGCCCTCTTCACCTGATGAAGGCCGCTTGTGTTGTGGCCGAAACGTCGTGAGAATATTATTGTGTTATTTTATTTTATCAATTTATTATCTTATTCTCATTCTACGTGACTTTACCGAAAGAACCAAAGAAGATGAATATTCGCACAGCTCTTTGTCCGTTCTCTAATTCGATTAAATCCTCCCCCCTCCCGAACGCCATATTAGTCATGGGGTTTCTTGACCGTACTTCACCACATAGGTCAGTATGGGTTGGTGAAGGTGGGACCAAGGGTCTGGTAAGATAGCGCTCACCACTGATGTTAGTCGTGAATGGAAATCGAACTCAGGTGACATTTCACATCATAGTGCGCGAACAACTGCACTGCCACTCCACCCCTACAATATATGCATTAGATTGTACGTGTGAGAACTAAGCATGCATGATTTACGCAAACCATATACCAATTATATGCAAATGTCATATAGATATAGACTAATGAGTTGGACAAAACTGCACAAATGAGGCAGAACAAAAGAGAAACAATACAAATGGGATGGTAAAAACGAATCAAAATTAACCGATTCTTGCATCAAATTGCAACTCCGAATCGAGTCCATTTATCAAACCACTAGTAGGTGGAGGTGAGGAGAATAGGTGAAATGTGAGCCAGCCCTGGCCTCCAATCCCTTCACCAGTCCACACTGACCAGCCTGCTGAGGTATCTTCAGCAACCCTCATCAGCGACAAGGCACGGGGAGGCCTTCATCCAGCGGTGGATTGATAAGATAAAACATTCTTGGTGCCTGTGCGGTACCCACCAGCGAGGACCTCGGTCTTTTCCAGGGGTTCCTCGTGCTGATGGTAGACGGCCGGGGAGGCTGTCGAGAGTGGTGGAAGAGCGGTCGTCCCAAAGTTTACCGCGTCCTCCTCTCCAACACCCAGCACCACGTCCCGTACTGCCGGCACCTCCTGCATCGATGTGCTTTCATGCATCTGGTAGACACATTAAACACACACATGCAAAAAATAACTATTTAAAAAATATATATTTTTTTTTAAAAACTTCTGTAATTTTATTATGATTGTGCTATCGGCGTCACGTCTCGAGACCAAGCGTGCGTTCGGATCTCTTACACAGCAATGCAACGTTTCGTGTTAGGCTACGGTCCATGGAAGCGGATGTCACAGAGCTACCTCTGAGATCCCTTTAAAAGTGACCCTTGTTCCACACAGTAAGGGGCAGTGCTCTACTCTTCAATCTGCAACTGAGGGTAATGTTCATCGCATGGCAGTCAAACTGATAATTTGAACTCCGAAAGCTGGACTTTTGCCATGTAGAGTGCAGAACAAAATTTAACCTGATGTATTTTGTGTTGCAGTAACTGATGAATGGGCTGAGAGGATCCATTCTCAACACTTGAGAACATAATTTAATTTTCGGTGGCTGCCTGAATTCGAACCCAGGGTCTCAGTGATGCCAGCTCAGTGCTCTGAACTTTGACTCACCAAGTCACCTCCATGTAAAACATATTTTATCAACTGACACATGAGCAAGTGAAAAAAATGGCATGGATTTTTGTTTTTGTTGAGAAAAAAAACAATGTCTGGTAACGTGAAAGTCAAGATACCTCTATGCTTAAACAAATATTGGATGGAGATTATATCCAGTGACAACCCTGATCCAGTGGTGAATATTACACATTCCCGTGCTAGGTGCTGATTGCAGGAATAATGTAATACATGGTCTGGGATATAACTTTCTTGTTATCTTGCACAGGCAATGTTCTAAATGTGTTCAGTGTCTGTAAACCATTAACAGACTGCAAACATTTACAGAGACGTTAGCAATTGTACATACAGACTTATACTGATACTGGATCTCGAATAGCTATGAGGGTAAGTATTTACAAAAATATAACTGCATTGTAGTAAAATATGAACATTCCTATGGCAGTTCATGGAAATTAATGTAAAAAATCTAACTCAAATGTTAATGAGAAATTAATGTTCATGTTGGGGCTGTGTGTGTGTGTTTAGTATCACTTTTTGTAAATTTCTTACAGTGAATACTAATCACCCACTTACAAATTCATCTCTTCTGTAACAAATAATTTGAAGAAAAAAATCACCTTTGACAAATTATACAGGGGACAGTTTAAGCAACAATTAAACATCGTCAAGGAAACCCCTTTTATTCTTAGTCGACTAACTCCCTACAGAAATTGATGGCATTTGATATGGCGGTGAGACCAAACCCTATCTGAAATTCACCTGACTTGTAGTATCATCCACCGAATCTGATTCAAAGATCCTGGGCACGCCATGCAGTATCGCTCTGACAGTGGAGCTAGTTACGCTGATGGCTGATGTCTCACTGTCCGTATACGTGGTTGCTGATGTCATTTCTGGATACTGTGCAGTGACGGTTTCACTCGTGACCTTGTCACTTATTGTAGACGTGGCTTCTGACACTGAAAATTTAAATAGATCATCTCCAGACCGCTGGGCTGCTCCAAACAAATCTGGCGTTGTTGGCTCCGGCTCGGTCGAAACTTCGGTTGTAGTTGTCGTCATTTCCGATGTTGTAACAGCAGCAGTTGTTGTTGCCGGAGCCGTCGTTGCTAGATCGGCTGTTAGAAATCTGTCTACGGTTTGAGCCTCAGGGGCTGAGCCTTCTGTCGAGGTTGAGTCACTGTCTTCCGAGACTACACCAACCACATCTTTCAAAATTGTTTCTTCACTGCTTTGTGTTGTTTTTGTCGCTGTAGTGACAGTTGTGAGCATCACATCATCCGCTGACGCCTCCACTAAGGGCTGCTCCTCTGGGGTATGCGCCGGCGTCATGACTGTGGTCTGTGCGAACGCGGACGCTTCCTCGATTACCGCAGCTACCTCCTTCCATTCGGTGGTTGCTGGAACCTCGGCAGACGACTGCGTGGTTGCAGAAGCCTCCTGAACGAGCGAATCCGTAGATTCCTCCGCGGACGCTTCAATGCCTACAACAGGCACTATTGCCTCTTCTGTGGTTTCGCTGAGGGTGGCAGAGGATGGGGTTATCGATGACACTGTAGTTTCCAGGAAGCCGAGGGATGAGCCTTCGCCCGGTTCCAATACGGCCTCCTCCACCATGGGAACAGTGCTGCTCTGGGTGGAGGAGGGCGCGCTGGTCGGAGCTGCTGCTAAGGTGACATCTCCTTGTTCAGAAAGCCCTCCACCTGAAACAAGAGCAGAAACAAACGTGAAAGATAAAAGTGTAAGCCTGCAATTGCTTGCACATACCGATGCTGGCAGGAGGGCCCCCCACTCGAGAGATCTCTAAAGAGCCCTTCTGGAGGGTATTTGGCTCACTGTTCCATGCTGGCCAGACGTCTCGGAAGAGTCGGGAGTAACCACACCAATCACATTGAACCTACCAATCGATTAACTGTGAAGTACCCATTTAAGCTCCTGGGTGAACAGAGGTGGGGAGATTTAAGAAGCTTGCTCCCTGTTCCAACTGCCAGCAACCTCTGGATTACATGACCATATGCTTATGATTGAACCATAGCAGTATCTTGAATACCTGTACAATAATAATGTTCCTTTACTCATTAAGGCAAGCCACACTGAGTATCATTATAAAAAAGGGTATTGCATTGGAATGTTTGGTCAGTCCATTAATTTGAGTATGGCTTCATCTGGGAGTAAATTGGAGTACTGTAACAAAACCCATGCACACATACATGGAGGCAGCACTCAAAGCTCCATACAGATAGAGTCAATAATCAATTTCTGCACTGCAATTTCCTGCAGTCAAAGCCTAGAACACCTGGTATTGGCAGGCAGTCTTCTGTATAGTTACCAACCAGACTCAAGCCTGCTTAGCTTCTGACATCCGGCGACATCAGGCACATTCAGGCTGACTTGGTCATATATTCATGGGCAGACTGCAAATAAGGCATGTTTACCGTACAAATTAAAGCTGATTTATATATAAAATACAACTATATTGTTAATCATTACCCCCTGGGTTATATACAAGAAAATTCCCTCCAGCACTGCAGTGGTTAATGTTTTAAGCAGTCTTCAACATGGTCACAGCTGGCTGTGTGCACCCAAGGTCTTGCCTTCCTGGTCTCAGCACGGTGGCATTTTCCGTGGCAAAGTCAGCTCTAGTTTAAACGCCTGTGCTAGCATTTACAACGAGTCATCAACTTCACATCTCAGTGGAAATGAGGCTCCAGCTGTGGTCACAGTTTGAAAAAATAAAGAGCAGCATTATTGGTCATTAGTTGTCATTTGAAAATATTTGTGTGTGTGTGTGACAAGGTGGGGAACGGTAGCATAGTGGTTAGTGTGCTGCGCTACGAACCCGGCTCATGGTCAACACCAGTGACAATTATCTGAACCGGTCTTGGGCCTCCCCTAGGTCTACTCAGCCTCAAATTAATACCTGGTGTGGTGGGTGCCACAGTGGCGAGATGTTAACTCCCTCGCCTGGCATACAGGAGGTCGTGGGTTTGATCCAGACCCTGACGCCTGTATATTTGGATTTCTCTCCGGGTCCTCCAGTTTTTCCCTCCCTCTACATTTAGAAACATGGGTTTAGAGTATTTGGCTGCTATAAATTTGCACGTGATAAGCCATTTCATTGAGCTATCATTTGTGTGGCCAGAGATATATAGCTCAGTGGGCCTTACCTGGTAAAATAAAAATAGTAAAACAGAAATAGTATAAATGTCATCACTAGGGAGACAAAGTTGGCGGAGCGTGGCGCTGGCCACCCACCCCTTCCCGTGCCGTGCCGGCCTTCATAGATGCTGCTCGCTAACAGCACTTGCCCCAACAGTCTGGTAAGGCTATACGGGGAGATATTTGTCTTTGTAAATAGGTTCAGGTAAAAGTGCAGCGCTGCATGCCTGTGCCACTGCCGACAGAAGGGCCTCTACTAGAGACCTAGAGGGTGTTTGGTTTACACCTTCACGCTGGCTAGACGTCTTAGAAGAGGTGGGAATACCCACACTTTACCCCACTATACGCGACTTGCCAATCGACTAACTGTGGAGTACCCCTTACACTAATGGGTTAATAAAAGCAGGGAGGTAATAAATACATTTTCCCATTGGTTTAACTGCCTCGCCAATCGAACTGGTGACCTCTGGATTGCAATTGCAGCACACGAACCAGGACAGCACAACAGCATTTCCTTGATGTAGTTTGTCTTGTTTCTGTCTCTTAGATCAATTTATTTATTGCTTCCTACAACTCACTAGATTAGAAACGTCTGACATGCCATTTAAGAATAAAGGTTAAAAATGTCACTTTGTTACATCTCTTTCCCAGCCATAATATTCAGATTTCGCATCTGATATTGCATATTAAAAAAACCATGAATTTAAATGTAATTGATAGACTTATTATTATCATAATCATATTACAGAATCATGATAATTAGTGGCAAGTTGCAGGGAGGCTGATGATGATCGTTGTGAAATGGGAAGGTGTACTATATTTCCAGTGGATAGTAGGATTCTAACAATTGGATGTACTCTTGCCCTTCAGGGTGAATCTTCTATATAAAAAATGTGGGGGATGTTGCAGCCTCTAGCGACTGCAGGGGTCAACCAAATTGCATACAATATGTACAAATAAAACAACAATGATTATTACAAATGTGATGTGATGCGTGTATCATGAGCTGAAGAATCAACATGAATCCAACAATCGATGCATTATTACACTCCTAAAATATAACTCAGTGAAAATGCTACTACTGCTTATGATGCTATTGCTGCTGGTGTTGATACATGTCGTCCTTCAATTTGTAGATAAGAAGCCAAAGAAATATGTACAAGGGGTTAAGTCTCAAGTCTTTCCTAAATCACTTGAGCTAAAAAAGTGCATTATCTCAAGAGCTCATGAGAAGTCGCATTTGATGATTTATGAGTTTTGCAGTTGCAGAATGGAGCAAAGAAACTCTGCCGATTCATCGTGGCTGACACATTAATGCCAACTAGACATTGTTCTGCTGGCCAGGTGCCTGTCTGAATATGGTGCCTTCCGTTAAAGAACTTAAATCACAAGAATTTCAGTAAAAATAACTTGATTTATCGAGCATTCCTAACGTGGCATTTCAAGTCCACCATTACCAAAAAGATATATTTTTATTGCACATGACCAAGCTTGAACAACCGTTTGACAATGTGTTAACGGCTACCGTATTGGTATTAGCGAAGAAAATATGTGGGTAATTAAACTGGTGAACAGAATATTCTTAGCTCTTTCGGTAAAGTCACGTTGAAGGGAAACAATAAAATAATAAAATATATATAAAACAATAAAAATTCTCACGACGTTTCGACCATAACACAAACGGTCATCATCAGGTGTGATGATATATTTTATAATTTTATTGTTTCACTTCAACGTGACTTTACCGAAAGAGCTAAGAATATGAATTACTGTAGTCACGAAAGCTTTAAATCAAAATTTGGTGAACAGAATGTCAACAGTGTATCAGTTAATATGGTTTTATTTGCAACCGGTAACGAAAAATCCGAATGTGAAGTTAAACTTCAAAGAACATTTCAGTCACCACTTTGGCAGTGATGTCACAAACAGAGACCAACAAAAAGATGTCATCACTTTAACCACTGCTGGGAATAAGTGGCATTTCCAAAAATATATCATATTTTTATCTGTTAGTGCAAATGGTGATGGCAGTAAAGTAGTTTTGGCCTGTATGTGCTTGCACATGTACAGTCCATTTTTGTCAACCCACTGCTGGGTGAGGGCCTCCTCATGCCTTGTAGTCCATGAAGGATATTCGATCATACTTTCACCACACTAGTCAATGTGAGCGCAGAACAGCAATGGATTTTGCTGTGCTCCTCTCTACGATTACACCTGTCTTTTGTGCACAGTACTAGTCCATGCTCAACCCGGCTGAGATTCTGAGATCCAGCACATCCCCAGATGATTTGGTGACAGGCCAAATGTATCCTGTGAATATATATTTCATAAAAAAAAAATCCTAAAATCAACAACGCTAAAGTACATCCGGCCCAAGTTCATTTTTTAGCACTCTGCTGGTGCAAACACATACCAGAGCCCCAGCCGGAGTTGGGAATTTCTCCATCCTCGTCGTCTGGCCCGTCTGCAGACGCCTCCATGTCAATGTCGATCACCTCCTCTGCATCCTGCGCCTCTGTCGGCTGCAATGCAAACCCACGCAGAAAAGACATTGCGGTCACATTCACGCGCGTGATGCACATGCACTGCGGGCACGGTTTCGCAATGAGGCTTTTTATCGCTAACCAGCCCCAACGCGCTGCTCTGCGATGTGGTTTCGGGTTGGACTGCGTGCGTACGAACCGAAAACACATTGGAGCTCCTACAGCACAACCGCGCAAACCCTACCCAAGTAGAAAGAAGCATCAAAGTGCACAAAGGATGGGATGGCAAGCATGTGTATGTTGGCACCCTCTCTGCTTTGTGTATTTCACACGGTCAGTTTCCATGAAAGGATACATGTGCAGTATTTTGTTGGTGCTTTGGAAAACAGGATATTTTTGAAAATAAAATAAATTGACTAAATTGCAGCACTTTGCTGGATGATTGGCTCCATACACTGTGTGAGTCATGGGGTTCTTTGACCATACTTCACCATGTGGGTTGGTAAAAGAAGCAGGAACAGGACTGGTTGACATATAACTTGCCAATAATCTGTATTTGTACCTGGGGAGCATGTGTTAGACTTTGTATGAAGAAAAAATGGTATATCAAATTTAACAGCATAATACAAATGAATGCATGCTAAATCATAACAGACTGATCAGAAATAAAACATTAACATTATACAATGTCTTGTGTTGTATCGCCAGTATTAGTATACTGTATATACACCTTCAGCAAGAGGGTGACATATATTTTTCATGCAAGATAAACTATGAAATGAAAATGCTGGAAATCTGGCATTAATGTTGCAGAAAGGGTGGTCCTTTTGGGGAAAACAGGAGTTTAAGTTTGAAATAAAGCTGAAATTTTTTAAAAAAGGCATCAGAGAGAAGTTAAATATTTTCCAGTTTTTTTATCCAGCGTGAAGGCAAATAAGAATTTTCTTGAAAAATATGCGCTGGATAACTCTTGCGAACCTGAATCAGTATTTGAAAGATTTCCATTAAGAATATCCATTACTGATACAAAACAGCACATGATGCATGTGGTGGTTTATTTGTATTCTGTGAAAGGCATTGAATTGTATGGTTCATTTGGTGGCAATGGTTGAGTTTATATGAAATTAAAGTTGTCATTTTCATTTTTCTTAGCTCTGCATAATGTTTTCACCTTTGGGTAGAAGAAAAAGCATTGTGTTATTTATAGACAAAAACTATGTAAAGTAGAATTTACATTCTTATTTCTTTGAGAATTAGAGATACCCAGCCTAAACCAGCCCTTAAAAATGCAAGAGTATACTCTATGTGCCCTGCATAGCGTCGTATATAAAACAAATGAAGCTTGCCAAGGCAGTAGATTCCCACTTTGGTATTCCATGGCCTTTCTTACGCTATGTTGGCTCTTTTCATAGAGCTTGATGTTGACTTTCTAAACATAAAGAACATTCTCAGTACATAAACTGCCAACATGAATGTTCACCAACCTACCTCCACTCGTGAAACAATGAGGTTTTTATTTTTTCAAAGTAGAACATTACGTGGGACGCTGCTGCAGCGTAGCGCTTAGCACACTCGTCTTCCCGAGGTCGTTGGTTCGATCTTCCCGTGTGGCATTTTAAACAATGGGTACATTTTCTTGGTTATTTCGGTAAAGTCACGTAGAAAGGAAACAATAAAAACGAATTTTCCCTTCTGCGTGACTTTACCGAAAGAACCAAGGATATGAATCCCTGCAGTCACGAAAGCTTTAAATAAAAATGAGCACATTCCTTAAATCCCCCCCCCACTCCCACCTTTATCCACCCAGCAGCACAAATGGCTACGCACCAAAGTTAGTTGATTGGAAAGTCACGTGTGGTAAAGTGAAGGTACTATACTGCCATCATGGCAGTTTAGGCCAAACTATTCCCTAGAGGGGCTCTCCGGGATAACCTTCCACCAGCAGTGGTGTGAACAAGTAATTACAGGGTTGCACCTTTACCTTTTACATTGTGTGTATCACGGTTAAAATCTCGATGAGGAATGATGAAAATTCCATTAACTGAGATGAAGCCACAAACAGGGGTTTATTTATGTGGCTCTTCGATGGGTTTCATCCACAGCATCTCAGCAGCCTTCATTTGGGATCTTGAGCCTTAAATTTCAGTCTCTTCGATATTTAAATAACCATGGGCAGAACTCACTGGTAGAAAATATGACTGCTAATGGACACAACTGGTGATAGAGTGGCATTGAAGGTTACTGCAAGATCCGACCCATGTCCGTCCAGTGCTCGCTGAGCAGCATTGGCTTCTGGTTGCCGAACGGATACATTATGAGGTCGCACTCATTACATATAAAGTGATATCTTAAGTGTCACAACAACAGTTGGTTTATGCATTCAGAAAAGCTTGGCTGAGCTGCAAGGTCACTTTTCAAAAGGATCATCTTTGAGACATTACTCCAAATCCTAATCATTCGGCATGCACCGTGAGAAAACACACCCACGGATGAGCATGTACACATACAGCCCCATATTAATCCATTGCTGGATGAGGGCATCACCACATCCATGCGCGTTGTGAAGGTTATCTGACCGTACTTCACCACACTCACCTGTGTGGGTTGTTCAAGGTGGGGAGCGTGGACGCAGGATCATAGAAGCATAATACAATGACCACACTTCCCGATCTTGTCCACCACGTAGCCCTGCGGCTTATAACAACCTCTCTTATGCATGTTGGTCACCCACCCAAACGCTATCCAGGCTCAAACCAGCTGAGCTTCCAAGATCTGACGCGGTCGGACGCATTCTGGGAGTTTTGGTCACAGGCAATACTGCGGGTAACACGAATACAGATTACCATCTCGCTCTGCACGTCCCCCACGCGATGATCTCTGCATGGTCCTCGAACTCTGCCTGCTTGGTCAGTAGGGTGGTCGCGACATGGCGATACTAAGAAATATCACACAATATTGATTCCAAGATGATCGTATCATTCGTCTTACAAAATATCATCATGTTATGTTTGTGGTTGCTCATTTAATTTTTGGCTGAAATACTATGTTTTATTCCCTGACAAAAGATTTATAAATGAAGAAACTCAACAATTCAAGTGTTAAATAAATTGCTATTACCCATTAAATCCCTGTAATGCTTTGTTAGATGTTTTCTGAACTAATTAATAGCATGGCAATGACATCATTATTTCCATAGTTCAATTCATTATTTGTGGTGTAAATAACAGCTTTATAAGCGTTATAAACGTTTAGAAGACATGCCAAGCTTCAGTTGTATGAACAAAACTTAAGCAATCTCTGTTTTTATGGGATTTACAGCAATGTACTTTTGCATTACACAATATGGTACAATACAAATGTGAAATAGAATTACGAAGTTATGGAAATGTGATATCGTGTTAATCGTCACATCGTGAAAATTGATATCTTATCATATCTTGGAAAATGTATATCACGTAACAACTATAGTTACCATTATGCACCGGATTGTATGAATGTGGGAATCCACGTTCATTATGAGCAATGAAAACAGCTGGTAGTGATGATAAAGGTATTTGCTAGCCATGTGTATCTGCATCTCCCACTGAATTTACAGACTGTAATTAAAAACATGTGGGCAGGCGAAAGGCATTTTTTTAATGTAAGAAAACAATATTGTGCCCAAGAGTATTTTGAAATGTGTTTATTAATTACGTTTCTGTTTATTTCTGTTGTGGATTTAGGCTGGTTGGATTTCACAGTATTACACATCTACAAACTTACCAGCCACCGTCAACAAATAATGGTAATGAGTGATATACTCAGAAATACCAAGAGCGTAAATAAATACAGGACAATATTTATTTATGCTTCAAATATTTCATGAAAGTAAGGAGGGAGCAAATGCACTGTGGAGATTGAGTAACGAGATCAGCTTGTGTGCAGGAGGTCGATGGATTGTCGCACCACTAGGCCATCATGGTTGGCGACGGCGTGGGTGAAACCTTCATCCAGCAGTGGAAAAATCATAGCGGATGACAATGATATTTCACACCATCTGCAGAGTTAAATTTCATAATTTTTTCTACAATGATAGCTCACCATGAATTGTCAACAATCTACAAGATGTATTTTGCAATTGCGCCTTTCTTCAGAATAATTTTTTTTAGCGTTAAGTGAAGGGATGGAACTGGAGTGGTATCTGGTGTGAGTGCCACTGAGCCAGGTACATTTGCTTCAGTAGTCTGGTATTTTTTATGGAGCATTACATAAATAGACCATCTTTTCTAAAATGCATTTTTCAAGATCAATGACGTCATTCACATTTCACAAATCCAGGCCATTACGTACTAGCAGTCTGGCAAACATCCTAACCCACCCACATTTACAAAATTAAATCATAAATGTGGCCCTACAACCTAATTTATGTTTGAAGCAAATGTATTTATTTTGCTGAACATATCAACATTTTGTGACCGTACCGGCATTTTCCAGCAATATTTTCAAAGTGTTGTGTCCATTGCAATGCTAACAATCGAAGCGCTAGGGGGGTTGATGCACCATCAAACCAGATTGTTCTAATTCTCTAGAATCGGTAGAATATCAGCTGCTCAGTCATGACATAACCACATAACTAGCACACGTCACTTGCTTTTTTGATTGCTGAAGGTGCAAAGCCAGGAAATCACAAGTCACTGAAATTGGCCATTGACGGGAATTGATCGCAGGTCGCGAGGCATGTAATGTGTAATGTGTTCAGCGCCACTGTGAATTAAAATATTACAATGTATCTATAGTAAATTAGGTTAAATCTAACAGCTGTAGTTTGTACTCTTTAGAATAATTTGAACCGACTTAATTGGCATAATTCTTGCATGCTATCAATTTATTTGAATCTAATTATAATGGTGTTTGGAAGATTATATATATAAATAGCCCTTGTGCTTATTAAGACATTTGCTGAGATTTAAATATGGTGACTGCCATGAATTTGCTCTTGTTAAAGAGTTCTGTCAAATTTCATGAACGGAGATTTAGAATATCCACAAGTAACGAACTTG